GTCACCCTCCTCCCACAGTGCTTCCATATATTGTTGGAATTTCAGAAATTAGCTTTTTTGTGCTTAGATCAAGTATAGCAAAATCACACGCTTCTTCCTAGCAGCCTGCTCAATCTTGGTCAGATCCTAGTGTGTACCAATTGCTATGCTAAAGTCCAGAGGTTATCAGATAACCTCACGAAGTTCATTTTGTGGTGCACCATAAATACCCCTATACACCCGCAACAGCATAATAACGCAAACAGCGTACAATATCATCTGCAGTAGATTCTATATCGTAGCTGACAGTCCGCGGGGACAAGCTGGCTGTTGATTCATTTTGCTTATAGCCGCACGGTTGTAAGAAATCAGGTTTGACCTAATAATGCCCTCCATTCTCTCCAGAAAGGGAAAGTGATTATTGATTAACAAATGATAAGTTTTGCCCATTAGAATCTCATTTTTCGAACCAGGCAATGGAAAAGTGGAAAATCGTCTTTCTAGCTGCCTTTATGGCCATAATGTATTCAGAAAGGACCAATGTTAATAGGGCGAATGTCTGGAGCGATCGACGGGGCCACTTTGTCACTTAGTTTTCTAACACAATCCTATTGCTCATTAGAGCAAGGAGATATACATCTAAATTGCTGGATAAACAAGCTAATAACTATGCTGTGATATTACTCCTGCCTAGAAATGTGGTATTGAATGAAAGGAAGGCGGTTTGGTCAGGAGAATGCCTTGAATAGGTTTTATAGCTTGGCAATTTGTCCATCTCTTGGCTTAATCAGCGGCTTCTGGATGTTATGCCTGAGTGTGTAAGTCTTGAGTAAAGCCCCATACACACGGTAAGAATAACAGATGAATGATCATCAGTTTTTTTTTTTTCTGCATGTTAGCCTCATATCGAAAGTGAAGAGGTACTAAAGTTACAAAAATTCTTGTACGACAGATAAAAAAAAATTGGAAGTGATGTAATGTATTGCATTGTATTTTCACACAAAAACTGTCCTGATTAAACGAAAATCGTATGATATGGTATCGTGCAAGAAAAATTTTCATGCTTGTCCCTTCGAATAATTTCAGACGAAAGCTGTGTACTAACAATCAGATTATCGTGTGATAGCTTTAAAAGTGGTATTTTTTCGTACGATTTTCTGATTGTGTGTACTAGGCTTAAGGATGAGCTAGGGTTGGGGTGCTCAGGACTAGGGATGAGCTGGGGTTGGGGTGCTCAGGACTAGGGATGAGCTGGGGTTGGGGTGCCCAATACTAGGGATGAGCTAAAGTTGGGGTGTTCAGGACTAGACAAGAGCTAAGGTTGGGGTGCTCAGAGCTACTGGTCAGCTAAGGTTGGTGTGCTCAAGGCTAGGGATGAGCTAAGGTTGGGGTGCTCAGGAATAGGGATGAGCTGAGGTTGGGGTGCTCAAGACTAGGGATGAGCTAGGGTTGGTGTGCTCAGGACTAGGGATGAACTAAGAATGGGGTGCTCTGGACTAGGGATGAGCTAAGGTTGGGCTGCTCAGGACTAGGGATGAGCTACGTTTGAGGTGCACAGGAATAGAGATGAGCTAAGGTTGAGGTGCTCAGAATTAGGGACGAGCAAACGTTGAGGTGCTCAGGACTAGGAATAAGCTTAGGTTGGGGTGCTTAGGACTAGGGATAAGCTAAGGATGGGATTCTCAGGACTAAGAATGAGCTAAGGATGGGCTGCTCAGGACTAGGGATAAGCTAAGGTTAGGGTGCTAAAGACAAGGGATGGGCTAAAGTTGGGGTACTCAGGGATAGGGATAGGCTAAGGTTGGGGTGCTCAGGACTAAGGATGATCTAAGATTGGGGTTCTTAAGACTAGGAGTAAACTAAGGTTGGCGTGCTCAGGTGAACAGAATATATCATCAGCAGAAGAATCTATATCGTAGCCGACAAGTCACACGGAGAAGCTGGCTGTTAATTCACTTCACTCATTGACTAGGGATGAGCTAAGGTTGGGGTGATCAGGACTAGGAATTTGCTCAGGTTGGGTTTCTTAGGACTAGGGATGAGCTAAGGTTGGGGTGATCAGGACTAGGGATTTGCTCAGGTTGGGCTGCTTAGGACTAGGGATGAGCTAAGGTTGGGGTGATCAGGACTAGGGATTTGCTCAGGTTGGGTTTCTTAGGACTAGGGATGAGCTAAGGTTGGGGTGATCAGGACTAGGGATTTGCTCAGGTTGGGTTTCTTAGGACTAGGGATGAGCTAAGGTTGGGGTGATCAGGACTAGGGATTTGCTCAGGTTGGGCTGCTTAGGACTAGGGATGAGCTAAGGTTGGGGTGATCAGGACTAGGGATGAGCTAAGGTTGGGGTGATCAGGACTAGGGATAAGCTAAGGTTGGGGTGATCAGGACTAGGGATAAGCCAAGGCTGGGGGGCTCAGGACAAGGCATATGCTAAAGATGGGGTGCTCAGGACTAGGAATGAGCTAAGGACGGGGTACTTAGGACTAGGGATAAGGTTTGGGTGATCTGGTCTTGGGTGGATCTAATTTTTGGGCTAAAGTCAGTTAAGCTACGACCTGCAGGAAACTGGCACATGAATGGTCATCTTCCCCAATCTTCCCCGCATCCACACCTGACAAAGGAGCAAACATGCTGGTGACATCATTGACCTAATATTGGCCACATGGCAATTTTTGGTCATTGATTGCTCTCCCTCCTTGTACTGGGTGACTGGTCTTTTCTACACCCCTCCTGTAGTTTTCTGCCAGCAGCCTGTAGGGGGTGGAGCCAGCTGGGTCCCTCCCACATCTCTGCCCTCTGCATAGTGATAATGTCACAGTGAGAATGTCACTGCTACTTTTAAAAGGTAAGATCTGGGTTTGCAAAGGCATGTGGTGTACTCCAAGTGGATTTATATCCCTCTGTGGTTGTCAAGGAATATATATTTAAATGAAAGTTTTGTGTCCGGAGTTCAGCTTTAATTGTATACCGACGGTATTGTTTTCACTTGTCAGGCCCAACCAAATGAATGAGAGAAAACTATAAATGTGGCCCTTGCGCCAATACGAAAAAAAAAAAAATTTTTTCAATGACAGCCCTGCAATTTGTAGAAGGAGGATAATTCTCCTGTTGCATGTTACATCTTCAACCTTCCAATTGCAGCTTTCTTCCCGAAATTGCTTTCTGAATAGGAGAAGATAATGTCAATCAAAGGACTCGACAGTGTACAGTCTGGTGGAAGACTCCTACACAGACAAGAGCACTTACCCCACGACATCACATACCAATTTTACATTCTTTTTAATACTACTGCCTTCCAACCGACACTTGAAAAAAAGAAAGAAAAAATATAAAAAATTCTGAATGATTCCACAGCAGCTCTCTGCAAAAAAAAAATCATTTGATACTGAAGGTGGTTGGTGCGGCTTTTTTTGTTGTTATAGCTGAGATGGAGAATAGTATGGGAGTTTTCTTTTTTTTAACACTTCATTGTTAAAATTTTATGCACGGCTCACGTTCGGAATGTTGGTTCCAAGCAGGGGCGGACTGACAACTCATGGGGCCCCCGGGCAATAGGGGATCATGAGGCCCCTGTGTCCTTGCCCAAACTCAAAAAAGCCGATGAAAAAGTTGCCAGGGGCATCTCATGGGGCCCCGTACTGGCCCCGGGCCCTCGGGCAGTGCCTGAGTTTCCAAATGGTCAGTCCGCCCTGGGTTCCAACCACAGCGTTTGCTGGTACTGAAAGCTTTGTATTGTCAGCAAGTAAAAGAATTGTGTTTTGTTAAAGTACATCCAATTACTAATACTGCATATAACATTTCAGGCAAGGATCACATTCATTTTTGCCCGCGTCCTTGAATTGTGCAAAAAGTGCACGTCATGCTTACAGCGCCATTCATTGTTCATGGCACCCCAAATGTTGCAAGCAGATGCGCATTTTTGCACTTTCGCCAAACTTTCCAGTACGAGGACCACATTTATTTTACATGGGCCGGAAACAAATGATTTTTTAAATGAATATGTTTTACTTGGATCTTTTTTGTAAACAGCATGATATTATTCAGAATGAAAGAGAAAAACTTATATCAGGATCCTCATCAGAGTCCCCCCTTTCATCCGGGCCCCCGTTAAAGCCCCCCCTTACATCAGGGTCCCTGTTAAAGCCCCCCTTACATCAGGGTCCCCATCAAGGCCCCCCTTACATCAGGGTCTCTGTTAAAGCCCCCCCCCCCCTTACATCAGGGTCCCCATCATTACACGTCTCTCCATCAGAGCACCACCTTACATCATGGGCCTCATCAGAGTCTCCCCTTACATCAGGGTCCGCATCAGAATCCCCCTTTACATTAGGGTCCCCGTGTGAGTCCCCATCAGAGTCCCACCTTAAATCCAGGTTCCCATCAGCTTTTTTCTTATATCAGAGTCCTCACCAGTGTTACCCTCTACATCAGGGAGCACACATCAAAGTCTCCCCTTACATCAGTCTCCATCAGAGTTCCCCTTGTATCAAAGTCCTCATCAGAGTAACCCCATACATCAGGGTGTCAATCAGGGTCCCTCCTACATCAGGGTTCCCCATCAGAGTCCCTCCTTACATCAGGGTCCCCATCAGAGTCCCTCCTTACATCAGGGTCCACATCAAAGTTCCCTCTTACATCAGGGTCCCCATCAGAGTCCCTCCTTATATCAGGGGTCCACATCAAAGTTCCCTCTTACATCAGGGTCCCCATCAGAGTCCCTCCTTACATCAGGGTCCCCATCAGAGTCCCCCCTTGCATCAGGGTCCCCATCAGAGTCCCCCATTGCATCAGGGTCCCCATCAGAATCCCTCCTTACATCAGGGTCTACATCAAAGTTCCCTCTTACATCAGGGTCCCCATCAGAGTCCCTCCTTACATCAGGGTCCCCATCAGAGTCCCCCCTTGCATCCGGGTCCCCATTAGAGTCCCTCCTTACATCAGGGTCCACATCAAATTTCCCTCTTACATCAGGGTCCCTATCAGAGTCCCTCCTTACATCAGGGTCCCCATCAAAGTTCCTTCTTCCTTGTGAGAAGCTCTCAGTGTGCAGTGAAATCAGAGAAAGCCATTTCAGTCCAGGAGAGGAGCCGCTACAACTGTGCAAGACTGAAGGGGAGGAGCCGGTACACCTGTGCGAGACTGAAGGGGAGGAGCTGTTACATCTGTGCAAGACTGAAGGGGGAGGAGCCGGTACATCTGTGCGAGACTGAAGGGGGAGGAGCCGGTACACCTGTGCAAGACTGAAATGGAGGAGCCGGTACACCTGTGCAAGACTGAAAGGGAGGAGCCAGTACACCTGTGCGAGACTAAAGGGGAGGGGCCGGTACACCTGTGCGAGACTGAAGGGGAGGAGCCGATACACCTGTGCGAGACTGAAGGGGAGGAGCCGGTACACCTGTGCGAGACTGAAGGGGAGGAGCCGGTACACCTGTGCGAGACTGAAGGGGAGGAGCCGGTACACCTGTGCGAGACTAAAGGGGAGGAGCCGGTACACCTGTGCGAGACTGAAGGGGAGGAGCCGATACACCTGTGCGAGACTGAAGGGGAGGAGCCGGTACACCTGTGCGAGACTGAAGGGGAGGAGCCGGTACACCTGTGCGAGACTGAAGGAGAGGAGTCGGTACACCTGTGCGAGACTGAAGGGGAGGAGCCGGTACACCTGTGTGAGACTGAAGGGAAGGCCGGAGTTCCGCTTTAATGTCCTATGTGGCTAATTGATCTTTGTAGCTGGGCACATCAAGAACGACCTTCAGGAGGATGCTACAATGACAATACAGTGTACGCAGCGCGCACCGTGAGAATGTGGAGTGCTTTCCCGTAATAAATGGCGCTACATAAACTTTTTATTTATGCTTAGCTGCCCTTTCCTTAAACCTTTAGGCCTTTCTCCCACTGAGTCCTTGACGCGGCTTGAGCCCGGCTATCGGACCCCTAATCACATTTACACAGACAACCAATATTTTTATTGTCCTCCGCTGTGTCGTAAAGCACCGATAATCCACTCGGCCCGACCGGCACACGCCGTATATTCCCCTCCATGTTTTATGGCTGTTAAATTTGCTCCCGTCGACACCGGCCGAGTATAACTCAGGCTCACAGCGGTAATGGCGTTGATTCGGATCTGTTAATACCATCTCACCGAGGAACAGCCCTCGAGCAATCACTAAATTGTCTGCTATCAACTCTGAGTCCTCCGGGGCCAAATGTGTCACTGCAGAAAGCCGTATTGACCTCCTCTTTCTGGAAGTGACCGGCAGGAAACATTTACAACTGGTTCCCGGAGATTACATAGCAATTATCAGCCTAGATAAGGCCAGGCTGGTTTAGCTGCTTAGGTTGGTTGGAAACGAGATCAGCGGGGACCAGACTGGGGACTTACATTAGGAAACCGGGATTTAACCTCACGCCGCAAGGGCGCTGTGTAGCTGCTTTTAACCCTTCTGTGATGCAAGTGCTTTACGCCTCAGCGACTGGGGCAGTCCTGCTAATTAATTTGTTTTACTGATTAGAGGCAGTCTGCTCTGCATTAGGCTTTTTTTGAAGCCTTTCAATTTTTTTTTTATTTTTAATCAAATTTAAAAAAATTGCTTATAAGCTAAAATGTAGTGAATTGAAAAAATAAAGCCTTAAAGTAACCCCTGTCCAGGGGCGTCCCTAGGGTTGGTGTCACCCAGTCAGGGGCGGACTTACCATTCAAGCACTTGGACACTGCCCGAGGGCCCAGGGTCAGTAGGGGGCCATATGAAATGCCCCTGGTACCTTTTATAGGCTTTTTTGGGTGTGCTGTGAGTGTGGGCAAGGACACAGGGGACCCATGATCCCCTATTGCCCGGGGGCCCATGAGTTGTCAGTCCGCCCCTGCACCCAGTGCGGTAACACTTGGTGACACCCCCTCTACCGATCCCCGCAGAATGGATCGGATCTGCAGATTGAGCATAATGGATCAGACTCCATTCATTATGCTCCCCAATCCACAGATCCGATCCATCCTGCGGGTATCGTTGGCTTTCTTTACAAATTACCTTTTTCGTGGAGCGGGTCCAGTGTCACCGCGTATAGGTTGCATGCTGACGATCCCCGCAGGATGGTTTGGATCTGCGGATTGAGCATAATGGATCGGAGTCCGATCCATTATGCTCCCCAATCCGCAGATCCACTAGATGGGGCTGAGGGGCCTACTTATCTCCTCTGAAAACAGTGTGAATGGGGATAATATCACATTATGGTCACTAGATGGAGCTGAGGAGCCTGCTTATCATCATCTAGTGACTTATTTCCTATGATACTCATTGCTGTCTAGTGGCCATGATGCTTTATTTTCCCCATTCACACAGTTTTTTTTTTCAATCAATCTGCAGAGAATATAGCCTGAGAACATTTGATTTTGCCCCACATACAAAAACTAATTTACATTCAGATGTGATGGGTGGACAGCTATTCAAATCATTTTTTATATACACCCCCATGTATCCTACCTATTGTAAATTTTTATTAAAATAATTGTTTTCATTATTTGTTATCCTGTGTTGCATCTCAGATCAGCCTTTTTTCATCTACTTCATGTCTACATGGATTTCTTGAGGCAGGTTTCCTGATGTTAGAAAATTGACAACAGAAAACATCCCACTGAGTCTGCCCTATTATTTTTCTTTTCTTTTCAATCTTTTTGTTGCTGCATAGATCTCTGTTTGTTCCGCACCCACAAAATCATCCCCTCCCCATTTGTAGCCACACTCAAAAGTCATTCCCCCATTTTTTAAAATTCCCTGCAATTGGGCACTAGAAACAAACATAGAAATAATGCTGCCCAAGTAGTATGTAACATACAGATTAAAGAGGTCAGGAGTGTGTAACATGCAGATTACAGAGGTCAGGAGTGTGTAATGCACAGAGTACAGAGGTCAAGGAGTGTGTAATGCACAGAGTACAGAGGTCAAGAGGTCAAGGAGTGTGTAACGCGCAGAGTACAGAGGTCAGGAGAGTTTAAGCACAGATTACAAAAGTCAAAAGTAAGTAAATCACAGAATGCAGGCATCAGGAATGGGTAATTCACAGACAGCAGAGATTAGGAGCAAGTAATGCACAGAGTGCAGAGGTCAGGAGTGTGTAATGCACAGAGTGCAGAGGTCAGGAGTGTGTAATGCACAGAGTATAGAGGTCAGGAGTGTGTAATGCACAGAGTATGGAGGTCAGGAGTGTATAATGCAGAGTACAGAGGTCAGGAGTGTGTAATGCACAGAGTACAGAGGTCAGGAGTGTGTAATGCACAGAGTATAGAGGTCAGGAGTGTATAATGCAGAGTACAGAGGTCAGGAGTGTGTAATGCACAGAGTACAGAGGTCAGGAGTGTGTAATGCACAGAGTACAGAGGTCAGGAGTGTGTAATGCAGAGTACAGAGGTCAGGAGTGTGTAATGCAGAGTACAGGGGTCAGGAGTGTGTAATGCACAGAGTACAGAGGTCAGGAGTGTGTAATGCAGAGTACAGAGGTCAGGAGTGTGTAATGCAGAGTACAGAGGTCAGGAGTGTGTAATGCCCAGAGTACAGAGGTCAGGAGTGTGTAATGCAGAGTACAGAGGTCAGGAGTGTGTAATGCCCAGAGTACAGAGGTCAGGAGTGTGTAATGCAGAGTACAGAGGTCAGGAGTGTGTAATGCAGAGTACAGAGGTCAGGAGTGTGTAATGCATAGAGTACAGAGGTCAGGAGTGTGTAATGCAGAGTACAGAGGTCAGGAGTGTGTAATGCACAGAGTACAGAGGTCAGGAGTGTGTAATGCAGAGTATAGAGGTCAGGAGTGTATAATGCAGAGTACAGGGGTCAGGAGTGTGTAATGCAGAGTACAGAGGTCAGGAGTGTGTAATGCACAGAGTATAGAGGTCAGGAGTGTATAATGCAGAGTACAGAGGTCAGGAGTGTGTAATGCACAGAGTACAGAGGTCAGGAGTGTGTAATGCACAGAGTATAGAGGTCAGGAGTGTATAATGCAGAGTACAGAGGTCAGGAGTGTGTAATGCACAGAGTACAGAGGTCAGGAGTGTGTAATGCAGAGTACAGAGGTCAGGAGTGTGTAATGCAGAGTACAGGGGTCAGGAGTGTGTAATGCACAGAGTATAGAGGTCAGGAGTGTGTAATGCAGAGTACAGAGGTCAGGAGTGTGTAATGCAGAGTACAGAGGTCAGGAGTGTGTAATACCCAGAGTACAGAGGTCAGGAGTGTGTAATGCAGAGTACAGAGGTCAGGAGTGTGTAATGCCCAGAGTACAGAGGTCAGGAGTGTGTAATGCAGAGTACAGAGGTCAGGAGTGTGTAATGCAGAGTACAGAGGTCAGGAGTGTGTAATGCATAGAGTACAGAGGTCAGGAGTGTGTAATGCAGAGTACAGAGGTCAGGAGTGTGTAATGCAGAGTACAGGGGTCAGGAGTGTGTAATGCAGAGTACAGAGGTCAGGAGTGTGTAATGCACAGAGTACAGAGGTCAGGAGTGTGTAATGCACAGAGTACAGAGGTCAGGAGTGTGTAACGCACAGAGTATAGAGGTCAGGTGAGTGTAATGTACAGATTACAAAAGTCAAAAGTAAGTAAATCACAGAATGTAGGCATCAGGAATGGGTAATGCCCAGACATCAGAGATTAGGAGTAAGTAATGTACAGAGTGCAGGGTAATAGGCGCAGCTGTAGCATAAAGAAATATAATTATTATGGGCAATATTGGCAATAATTACAGGCAGCACAGTGAATAAATGGTTAGCACTTCCACCTGGCAGTACTAGGGTCGTTGGTTCAAATCCCAACCAAGGCCACACCTGCCTGGCGTTTGCCTGTCCTCCCTGTGCTTGCATGGGCTTCCACCGGGTAATCCGGTTTCCTCCCACACTCCAAAGACGTGCTGGTAGGTGAATTGGTTCCTGTCTAAATTGGCCCTAGTATGTGTATGTATGAATGTGAGTTAGGGACCTTAGATTGTACACCCCTTGAGGGTTAGGGACTGATGTGAATGTACAATATATATGTAAAGCGCTGTGTACATTGACAGCACTATATACAGTGCATCCAGAAAGTAATCCCAGCGCTTAACTTTTGCCACATTTTGTTATGTTACGGCCTTATTCCAAAATGTATTAAATTAATTTTTTTCTTCAACATTCTACAAACAATACCCCATAATGACAACATGAAAGAAGTTAGTTTGGAAATCTTTGCAATTTATTAAAAAATAAAAAAATGCAAACACCCCATGTACATAAGTATTCCCTGCCTTTGCTCAATCCTTTGTTGAAGCCCCTTTAGCACCAATTACAACCTCAAGTTGTTTTAAGTATGATGCTACAAGCTTGGCACACCTATTAATTTCAATCATTTTGGAATAAAGCAATAAAATGTGGCAAAAGTTAAGCGGTGTGTGAATACTTTCTGGATGCACTGTATATAGCGCCATCAATTTACGCAGCGCTTTACATATATATTGTACATTCACATCAGTCCCTAACCCTCAAGGGGCGTACAATCTAAGGTCTCTAACTCACATTCATACATACACATACTGGGGCCAATTTAGACAGGATCCAATTCACCTACCAGCA